GAGGAGGAGGAGGAGGAGGAGGAGGAGGAGATGTGGAGACGCAGAGCTGGGGAAGAAGCATGGACAGCATCACTTGAACAGCAATCCTGTCCAGTGGAGAGCCACACTCAGACCTGTGCACCTGCGCAAGGCTCAAGGGCAGAGCTCAGGTTTCCTGGATGAGTCTGATTTGTTGGTCTAATTTTTGGTGCTGGCACTGGGGCTTGAATGCAGGGCCTTGCACTCGTGCTTGCCCTTTTTGCTCAAGGCTAGCACTCTATCACTTGAGTCACATCTTCACTTCCAGATTTGTCTGCCTGGGCTGGCTTCAAATTGCAATCCTCGGATCTCAGCCTCTTGAGTAGCTAAGTTGTAGGTGTGAGCGCCCAGCACCTGGCCTGAGGTGTTGCCTTTTCTCTCAAAGCCACTCAAAATGAAAGGCTGCCAGCTCTCCCCAGGAGTCGGCAGCCGAAGGTTGTATGTCCTGGGCACACAGTTACACAGCTGCTTAACTGCTCCAGGCTCTGTCAAGTTTCCCTCCCCCGCTAGTATTGGCATTTGAACCCAAGGCCTTGCACTTGCTTGCTCACAGCGGATGCTCCAGCCAGCTTTGGGCTGGCTAGTTGGAGATGGAGTCACAGGAACTTTTCTGCCCAGGCTGGCTTCCAACCTCAGTCCTTCAGGTCTCAGCCTCCTGAGTAGCTAGGATTACCAGTATGAGTCTCTGGCACCCACTTTTCCAATCTTAAGGTTCTAGTGGTTGTCTGCCCCTCAGTTTCAGGCTTTCCCAGCTTCCCTATCTGGGGGCCTTTCTACTCCCCCCCCCCCGCCACACTTAGTGGCTCAGTGTTTTTTTCCAGGCCACCCTTCCGGCTTGCATGTGGCTTGAGAAGTGAAGACTGACTCATCTCCTTCCCCAGATCGCAAGGGAAGCAGCGGCCAGATAGATGTCCTAGAATCCAATGCTTGAGAACTCAGCAGCAGCACAGATGAGCAAGGGCCACAAAGAAAGCCTTTCAGGGACACCGGTTCTCAAAGGCTTGGCAGACGCCTATGCTGTGTCAAAATGCACACTCCACAGTACAGGAAAAGAAACCTACCCATTCATGTCCTCGTTAAAGCTGTGCATGAGAGTGGGGTGTACAGGAGACCCCATGTGGTGGAGATAGGGTAGCTGGTGGCCCCCATGGCACCTCTTGCTTACCTCTGGTGGAGTTGATGTTAGTATAGGTAAAGATGCTTGCCTGGGTGCTGTCTTCATTGCTGCCCTGTGTTTGCCCATCTGTGAGCTTTTGAGGACCCCACCGCTGGGCCATGGCTCAGGAAAACCTGTCTTCAGTGCCCTCCTGTCTTGGCACACCACCTGGGGGGTCACGGCGCTTTATACCAGCCTGCAGGATCAGCCTGGGCCTCCTCACCTTAAAAGCTCCCAAACCCTTCACCATCTGATCTCTTAATTGGGCCCAGGACTTAGACCTCCCCCTCCCACTCTTCCCTTCCCTTGGAGAGTGGCTCAGAGAGATTTTCTGGCAACTGAACTCAGGCCTCCTACCAACCTTGGGCTCGCACACGCTCATGGGAGCTTCTGCAGCCCCCGCTCATGGGCCCGCCATCGCCTTCGATTGCAACATGTGCTTAGATCAGTCAGGCAGACTGATGTGGGTGGAGAAGTCACCCCAAGTCTGATCTGCCTCTCTCATGGGGCTCTTCCTCCTCCTCTTCCTCTTCATCCTCCTCCTCCTCTTCCTCTCCTCCTCCTCCTCCTCCTTCTCTTTTTTTCTTCATCTTCTTTGTATTTATGGGTTTGTGCCAGTACTGGGGCTTGCACTCAAGGCCTTGTGCTTGGGTTTTTTTTTTAAATCTTCCCCATTCCTTCAACCTTTATTATAACGAAAAAAAAAAACTTGAGACAATTTAGCTCAATTTTAATCTTTTCCAAGCGTTATTTTGACCAAGTATCCAAGTTATGAACATTGACAGTGTCCATTTACATAACCACACTTGATGTTAATAAGACTTAACCATTTTCTAATATAAGCCTATTTTCTACACTGCTTATTCACATATGCCCATTAACAATGGAATGTTTTCTTGATACATTTATTGGTTTGAGTGTTTTCTGGAAAACTTCAGTATCTGTGAAGACCGATTTCCATGCTGGCATTGCATGCATCCAAATATTAATAATGCACAGAATTAGAGCAACAAGAGAGCATATTGAAACACTAGCATGCCCCATTATCCTTTTTATTGCTTGTTTTGCTTAGTACTTTAAAAAGCACGTAAAAATCTTGAATCCAACGTTCACTGTCAAATAAAGAGTAACAGCAGGGCACATACTAAGGGTTTGAGTGAAACTGAAAGCACTAGCTGGCGCAAACAGTAGACATTGGTTTATATAATGTATGACCTTATTATTGAAATCTCTTCTCAACCAGAGTCTTCCAAACAAGATCGCTAACTCATACCAACATGATTTAGATTGAAATATACACAGGCGTAACAGTGTGTTCTGTAGGAATTTAAGAACTCAAAAACTACCCAAATTTCAATCCAGGTCTTTGGGAAGTGAGAAGCTTGTACTAAGCAACTGTGCTACATATCTGCTACATTTGTTATTTTGGACAATTATATCTCTTATCCTTGGATTCACTCAGAAAAATGTGTAGGGTACAAAACAGGAAAGCATGCCAACAAGTTAAGGATTTGACAATGAAGTGTCTGTTTATTCTCTTGCTCTGAAAACTTGCATGGGGAAATTAAACCAAGGAAAGTAATAAATCTTTTAGGCCTCAGGGGTCTCAAAGGAAAAACAGAATAAAATCAGGTATCCACTAATATGCTCAGACATTGCACACTTAGTGGTCCTGAATCAAAAATTAAGAATGGTTTCTAAAGGGATGGGGAAAACATCCACTACCCTTTACAAATTTAAATAGAGGGCAGCAGACATGCTTTACACTCCAAAACTATGGTAGCAGTCACTCTCAATGCGCTTAAGGTAAATGTAGAATGGAGATGTTCTAAACACAGCTACCATTCAGCAAATCTTAAAACACACTAAAACTATGATTACATTGAAAGAAAATGCACAAAAACAAATAGGGATTTTGAGGGTTTTTTTTCATTTGAAGGTAATCTTAATGCTATTAAATTTAAATTTAATAAATTAAATTTAAATACCCAATCATATGTATCTAAAACACACAATGCATACATACAAGTATCTATTCTCTCCACATGTCAGCGCCCATTCGTATCATGGTTTGGAAATGAGGAGAACAGATTCCCCTTAAAGTGCAAGTCAGTAAGTGTTTCTTTACAGTTATCCTTAGCAAAATTCATATAAAATAGTAATTAACAATGATCTTTACTTGTTAACCCACAAGGAAACACTTTCAAAACTGCATTTTGTTAAAGTTTCTGTACTAAAATGTAGAAAAACTGAGCTACACAAATATTGAAAAGTTAAAAATTCCTTAATTTTTTATTCCTGGTACCACTACCACAATTTACAGGGCCATATTACCTGATGTAATGAAAAGAAAAAGAGAGGCTGGGAAGGTGGCTCAATGGTAGAGCGCTTGCCTTGCATGCATGAGGCCCTGAGTTCGATTCCTCAGCACCACATAAGCAAAAAGAAAAAAGCTGGAAGTGGCGCTGTGGCTCAAGTGGTAGAGCGCTAGCCTTGAGCTGAAGAGCTGAGGGACAGCGCCCAGGCCCAGAGTTCAGGCCCCACGACCGGACCCCCCCCCAAAAAAAAAGAAAAGAAAAAGACAAAGCTGCAACAGATAAAAGACCTCAGCAATGTACATCGAATTGACACTACGTTGCATTAATCAATCGCTGCACTTTTTGCAAACTGTGGCTGTGACAGTCCTGAACAAGAAGGGTTTCCTGTTTAAGCTGCAGTAACTTTTCTGACTATGGATCATCGTTCCTTCTGTGGCAGATTTTTACAGTTCCTCTAAGGCATTTGGGACGACTGTCTCAAAGTAAACTGCAGCTTTCCTGACAACTCCTCGCTCTCTCTTCTGCCAAGAACTGTAGCCCTTTTTCTGTTGTTTTTAAAACCTTCTGCTACCATATCCACCACTTCCACCACAGATCCATAACCACCACCATATGGACTGCCAGAGCTTCTTCCACCAAAACTGTCCCCCTTCATGGGTCCATGATTTGATTGCTGTTGTCCACTGTAATTTCCAAAATCATCATAGTTGCCACCACCACCGTAGTTACCACCACCAAAATTTCCTCCTTCATTGTAACCATCATATCCTCCTCCACCACCCCCATATCCTCCACCTTGGTTTCCATAACCCGGTCCACCACCACCATAGCCTCCTCTGCTACTATAACCAGGACGGCCGCCATAGTTGCCACCATTACCTCCAAATCCATTGTATCCACCATCACCTCCTCCATAGCTACCTCTGCTGCCACCACCTCCACCACCATAGCCTCCTCTTCCACCAAAGTTTCCACCACGTCCAAAATTACCTCCACCACCTCCAAAGTTTCCTCCACGACCCATAAAGCTGCCAGATCCACCTCCACGACTTCTTTGTGATCCAGCAGACTGCATCTCTTGTTTCTTTTTCTTTTTTCTTTTTTTTTTTTGGGTCTGGTCATGGGGCCTGAACTCTGGACCTGGGCGCTGTCCCTCAGCTCTTCAGCTCAAGGCTAGCGCTCTACCACTTGAGCCACAGCGCCACTTCCAGCTTTTTTCTTTTTTGTTTATGTGGTGCTGAGGAATCGAACCCAGGGCCTCTGGCATGCAAGGCATGCGCTCTACCACTGAGCCATCTTCCCAGCCCGCATCTCTTGTTTAGAAAGGGCCTTTATCACTTCACAATTATGCCCATTAATAGTGTGGTATTTCTGAACAACAATTTTATCAACTGTATCATGATCATCAAAAGTTACAAAAGCAAATCCTCTCTTTTTTTTCCACTCTCTTGGTCTTCCATAACTTCTATGGTTTCAATCTTGCCATATTTTTCAAAGTAGTCTCTCAAATTACATTCTTCTGTGTCTTCCTTAATACCACCAACAAAAATTTTCTTCACTGTTAGATGGGCTCCTGGCTTCACAGAATCCTCTCTAGAAACCTCTCTCTTTGGTTCCACAACACGTCCATCAACCTTGTGGGGTCTAGCACACATGGCTGCATCCACTCTTCAACACAAGAATAAGTCACAAAACCGAAGCCCCTGGAACGTTTTGTCTGAGGATCTCTCATTATCACACAATCTGTGAGTGTGCCCCATTTCTCAAAATGTTCTCTTAAACTATCATCTGTAGTTTCAAAGCTCAGACCACCAATAAACAGCTTCTGCAGCTGCTTTGGTTCCTTTGGATCATGGCCCTCCATTTTGAGACTGGACTCGCCTCTTCCAACTCGAGTTCAATATGGGACTGAGAGGAAGAGTGCTTGGCTTTTTTGCTCAAGGTTGGTTGGTGCTCTACCACTTGAGCCACAGTTCCACTTCTGGCTTTTTGGTGATTAGTGGAAAACAGTGTATCACAGACTTTCATGCCCAGGTTGGCTTCAAACCTTGATCTTCAGCAGTGCTCTACTGGTGGCTTTATGCTTGGCAGAGGCAACAATTCCAAGAGCATTGCCTAATTCCATAGCCTTGCCTTCCCTCTCTAACCGAGGACCCCCTTCCTGTCCCCAGCTCCTTTAGGGAGGCCATTCTCTCCTGTAGCTGCCAGTCTTGAAGTCTGACTGCCTTCAGACACGTCTTCTGAATTGGCCTTTGAGCTCAGTAAAGCCACATGTAGTGGTGACCTCTACATCTCTAATCTTAGCACTGGGACTTTGATATTCCTGGCTCCAAGCTTAAGTAGCCTCTCCTGCTGGCATAGAGGAAGCCCTGGCTGCCAAACTGAAGGCTGGGGCCAGGTGGTGCCTCTGCTTGGCTGCCCATACAATAGTGACTCCTAGAAGCAGTTCGTCCATGCCACATACTGGCTGCCAGGCTAGGGGATCTTTGTGGAGTGGTACATCTCTGCCAGGGCCCATACACATCCTGGAAAGTATATGCCAAACCAAACCTTGACCATGAATATTCATAGCAGCACTGTCCACAGGAACAAATAAGTAAGCAACTATGGTGTACCCATGCAAAGGAATATTATCCAGCCATAACAATATGCATGAAGTTCTTTCCAGGCCACTATGTGGACAAATCTTGAGATGTTACGCTAAATCAAAGAAGGCAGAAGCCAAAGGCTACACACTGGATGATTCTGTTAATGAAATGTCCAGAATAGGCAAAAAACAAACAAAACAGATCTGCTGAGCAGG